ATTTCAAGAAAATACTAAGACCGTTATTTATTCTGGTCCACCCGTTAGAAAACAAGGAGAATGAAGGCAAGTTATTGAGAATAAGGATAGTAGTCTAGGGGCAGGAGCATAAAGACGACAAACAGAGTAACATTAATACACATGTAAGGACGGCCAGGAAAGAAAAAGAAAGGTAAAGAGATGATGGTCTCTGTTCTAATGGACAATTCATGGTAATTCCTAGGAGTTGTTATATTTATTTGATTGGTTCATGAGTTAAATGTAAAGGAGTCTACACCATTTGGGTATATGTTTAGATGATGCTCGTAAGAAAAAAACCTGCCATGCTTAATCATTATCTCATAGAAAAGAGGAAAGAAATATGAACTGACATTTTCTCATTGATGTAAGCATGCCGTAGGAAACAGAACAAAAAATAAATATAATATTATATCAGTCTCTTCTCGTTCTATTGTTAGAAAGAAAAAGAAGCCCGCACATCGTCTCCTTTTGTAAGTACGCCCCAACAAGACGCAGAAAGAAACGAACACATTATTTGCCATCTCTGGTCTAAAATCACAACAAAAGAAAAATATTGTGACGTATTTTTACCGAAATAATGAATATTCAAGATAATATCGAATTGGAAATGGAAGAACTTTTCACAATACAAGTCAAAAAACCAGTTTCTACTAAAAAGAAGAATATCTGTTTGTGTTTTCGGGGTATACTTAACCTTGATAATACATCAAGTCAACAGCATCATTGTCCTATATTCATCATCAGCATGTGCCTTTTACACGTTTTTACTCATCTCTCGACATACATTGAAGTCGGTTGGAGCAATCAAAATTTTCACTTCACTTTAATTAATCTCTTTCAGTTTTTTGTACCATGTATGCGGCCAACACCTGATAATATTCGCATGCTCACTGCCAGTTATAATTCAATGATAGGAAATCAAACATATTATTACGACGATGAACTCAAAAAGATGTGTCTCTCTTTCATGTATCCACATCAATTGTGGCGTATGGTAACTGGTAACCTGGTCCATATAGATTGGGTTCATCTGCTTGCTAATCTCTCACAACAACTCTTGTATGGCATTGCACTAGAGCGCAAATATGGTTCAGTTCTTATAATTGTTATTTATTGGCTCGCAGAAGTGGGTTCTAGTTTAAGTTTCATGGTGAAAAATAGAGCAGGATGTAAGTAAACGTTGAATATAATTATTATACTTTAGATCTTTGTCCCAAAAATGTAATGAATGTGCAGTTTTGAAATTTAAAATGGTTTAAGCAAATGAATTCAAACTGATTTAGAATAAAAATTAATGGACAATAAAGAAATGAGAGAGAATCAGTAAAATTCGCCATTTTTAATTTCAAATAGCTACAGATGTTGTTTATGACTGTTTTCGAAGAATTGAAAAATGTCTACTCATTAGTTCTCTTTTTCATCTGTTAGATATTTTCAATAACTTAATGGCACAGGCAGATGTATGAATGAATCGGCGTTTTTCCGTATGTTAATCGCGAGCGTCGAAAACTAGCTGCTCAAGCCTGTGATTGTCTTTCTTTCTTCCTTTAGCCAGTGTTGGAGCTTCCGATTCTGTGTACGGTCTAATGTTATTTTTGACTGTCGATCGTCTTATTGCAATGCAAATGAATACCGGTCGTCGTATTTCCATCATCATGCACTTACTCTTGCTGGTTTTACTTCCTATAGTAGTCACCATATTTGTACCGATTATTTTAAGGCTCAATGTGGCACACTCAGCTCATTTTGGTGGCGGTTTAGTGGGTTTTCTCTTTGGTGTTGGTATGCTCGGCTTTCCGTTACCATGCAATAATCAACTTAACATCAGTCACACAACATGTCGATATGTAGCATTCGTTTTTCTTTCTATTTACTATGTTATAATTTTAACCATCTTTTTTCTAACAAACGCTCCAACAGTCTACTGGATTTTGTACAAATTCTAATCAACAAATCAATGACCGTTCAAAAGAATCATATTCCTACTGATGGCTATTTGTTGTTTATCGACAACCGAAAGTTAATTATCGAGAAGCAATTTTCTTATCTACATCGACACATTCGGCACACACTATAACATGTCTTTATACAATAAAGATCGACTTCTCGATTGTTCTTCACGTACTCAATGCCATTGATAAAGATTCATTAAGTTCTCTTTTTTTAATGAACAACAGCACGAAAATATGCTGCAATATTAAAGTATAACATAAGAAACTTTGTAGCTAGTGTCCTGTTTTCGTCGATTACGACAAGCACTATTCAAATTCTTTACTTCGTCAAGTATAGAAATAATCTAGTAGTCTCATGCAAACATTCAATTTTCATATTTTCAAAAAAGAGCGATGAAAAAACAATGTGCTTTACTATGAAAAATGATGATATAGAAACCATGATAAATCAGATTATAACAACGTGTGTGAAGTCCCAATTGAATCTTACACATTTTTATCATTCAATAAATGAAGATAACTGCCCAAATAAGCAAAAAATGACTATCGACTGGCCACATGGCTACTCCGAAAAATCCGGAAAACCCGTCATGTCTAGTCCGTTTGGTCTAATATTCAGAAATACTGAAAAATAATTGAATTGACAGATTCGAAGCGTGTTCTCACTCACCGTAATTATTTTAATTTTCAAAATCTATGATAATCATTGATTCAGTGCACTATACAATTTCTTAAGAAGTCAAATTTCTCATACTGAATTCCCTCATATGGTTCGACCTGAGTAGTCACAGAAAAAAAATGAATATAATATACAAAAAAAAATATATAAAGTATATCGTTTAAGGAAAATAAATTGCGAGTAATCAAACATATTCAGAGTATGAGCGACATATACTGTTAGAAAACTCATTTCGTTCAGTATTTACTAAAAAATCAGATGGCATTGAAGGTTCAGGTCTTAAGAGATACCTCACAAAGTTTTGAAGTGTTCAGAATTGGATTTTTTGGAAGACTTTTGTTCAAAGAGTGCCCTAACAGTGTGCTCCATTATTCGATTCACTAATTTAATTAAATAGTTACACGATTAAATTCCAAAAAAAAATCTTATTACGCTTTATGAACGAAAGTAGAGTTTTGATGAATAAAGATGGAAAACATGCATTTGCGGCTTCCATTGCAACTGTTAGCTATGAGTATGATAAGTTTTATTCTATTATATCAGCTAACCTAAAAGAATGTCTTCATGCGTCAAAACATAATAGAAACTAAAAGACTGTGTTTATTTTACGATAAAAGGTGAGACTTAAAATATTGCAACCGATCAGATATATAAAATAAATGACAAAAGAATTATTTGAAAATAATTCATGCAGTTTTCGTATCATAATTTTATTTTAATATGAATATTTAATCCGCTTGCCTACTTTCAAAAATAATTTACTATGGACGCATGTAATTTAGTTTTTATTTTAAGATGGTCTAATTTAATTTAAAAAAATTAAGAAAACACAATACTAAAAAATAATTTCTATTTTACCCATGACTACTGAGCTATTTTCCATGTTTTCTTTTCGAATATTTTTTTCTAAATTTCAATCGACATTTTTGAAATTGGTAAAATTAAAAATAATCTTATTCAAGGTACGTAGGATATCTTAGGTTAGGATTCGAGTATTTTCTGAAAGGATCCACACTGAGAAGGGACCAAAAACTGAACACGATGGACCTAGGTGGAACTCAACGAGCTGTACCGAATAGATCTCTTTTGAGCTCGATTCAATACCCTGACTCTCCACAAAATTGTCCTAAATCTTCGAAATCGTAGGTTTTTGCTGAAATCTCTCTCCCTAGATCTGTAGAGTGGACGACCATCACTCTGGGCGACCGCTCTCCATACAAGTTGTCATTAGCAGTTTTGTCTGAAATAATGCCCGTTCCAAATTGCAATGCTTTTTACCAAAATCATGATGGTTCAAAATTGAAATGATTTGTCGCACTAAGTTACAGATTGTCACAGTCAGCCTGATATGATCTGGTAGTGGGACAATCATTAGTTTTTTGTATTACTATTCGAAACAGCAGGTGATTGCTGTGGTGTTCGACTTTCTTTTTTCTTCTAATTTTTGGGAGAAGACTAGTGTTATTTATTAAAAAATACTTTTATGTAGGTGCGTGTGTCGGTGCAGATGAAATCAATATCCACGCCTACACCCACTCCACCCATACTTCCGTTTATAATAGAAATCTCTCCATATTAGGAGATCCTCTCATTTAAGATGGTCTCACACAGCGGTTGTTTCAGCATAATTCTGTAGTATTCGCAGCGAACATGGCAAAAAATATTTTAAGAGCTTAGCAAATCATAATAGAAGGTGCATGATCGTTTTTGACTCGTTACAGAAAATTATTTACTTATCTAATAATTTTAGTAAACTAGAAACAAAAAATACTTAATACTGATGTTGTCACATGATGAATGATCACTTATTCATTAGTTGAAGCATGCCAGCTTTTATTGCACCTAAGCCTAATAATGTAACATGTAATAGTTTCCTTGCAGCGTTATTATGGGAAAAAAGGACAATGACTGTTTTAATTAAATCATACGTATTGAATAAACCATGTATCCCTAATTCAATATTTGCCTTTACTTCGACATGCTTGATCAAATTGATCATGGTGAAGTATCAACGAATAATATTATCAGTGCACCTTTGGAAAACATTTTTGACCAAATATTTCAAAAAAAGCAGCTTCAATTAAATTCTACGAAAAGGCTCGCGAAAACCAGTCCTTATTGACTATGCTCAACCAAAAATACGATACTAACAACCTCGTATACGCTCACATCCACATCCTACAGAACAGGTTTTTCTTGAAAATAATGGGATCAAGTGATCCTTCTTGTTTGATTATTGTTAGACAATAGGATTCAATACAATAACGAAATAAAACATTCGCTGCACGATACAAAGGGAGGGAGCGGTATCTCTATATGGGTTTAAAGAAAGCTTTTTTTTTAAACAGTCACTCTGTTTGTTGACATGTTTGTTCGTTGTGCTGATGTTGTTTCATTGCTTCTCGGCATGCATTTGCTTTGGCTATTTTCTTATTTGATCCATATCCTTCGAATCTAGCACCATTCGGCATTTGAACAACACATACTGTCATTGGGCTATCACCACCTTTCTCTATTGACTCTCTACAATTCAAGAATGATTGCAAGAACTTTCTCGTTAAATAGGAACATACTCGATTACTTTGCCACCATGTTCTGAGAATGATCTTATCGGGTTTAAATTAGGATGAATAATCGTTCGATCTAAATCATTAAAGTAAATATGTACAGAAATCCATTTCTTTTCAAACAGCTATACCAAGATATTTTCGAAGTAGAGGTTCGACAACTCGCCAGACAGTTTCTAAAGAATTACCAGAGTCAAGAAAGATGGCACCGACAAGTGCTTCGAATACGTCAGCCAAAGCTTTGGGCGCTGTTGAATTGGCCCATCGATCAAGATCCTATAAATCGACCAAAAACGATTAATGGCCGTTCAAATACGTTAATTCCAATGTAATTATCTGAGTTGCATACAGAAAGATATGTTTTTAATTAGAAAAAAATCGATAGCTGGACAGTATTCATATTTTACATTCACCGTACACAGAAAGTTTACCGACAAAATGGGCCTAATGAAACTAGAATCGGAAGAATACTTAGTCTTTCTTGTCAATGCTACCGCTTGTTCTAAAAAAGGGTGTGAGTGTAGAGAACACACACTCCAATGTCTAGGAGTGGAAGTCGATGCTTTGATTAGCGCCGGCGCCGACGGCTGTTGAAATTCTTTAGATAATTTTTTCATAGATTTGTGTTTGAGAAAATTCGGAAAAGAAAGGAGAGCAACAATAGCAAAGTATGTTTTGATAATAAACTACAATAGAAGAACCATGAAAATTGATTATGGCTGTTCAAAACATTCAACATCTAAGACATATGTTTATATCACAGTGATTGGAACTTTTTTTCCGAAAAATCGATGATCGGCTTACAATTTTATCCATCTTCTAAAGGTAGTGAAGGAAACCATTTTTATGAAAGTCATAGTAATTCGAAAGATCCTAAAATAGAATGAGAAAGATTTGCTTCCGCGTGAATCTGTGAGACAGCGATAATGTAAGATATGAATGTTACAGAAAATATTCATATTTTGCTCACAAGAGCATTGACTTTGACGGAAGCTTGGAACTTGTTCTAAGAATTTTATGTTTTAAAAATTAATCTTAGAAATTTAAGAGCAAATTCTATAACACAGTGTGATTTGCTTTTATTTAAAAACTTTTACTCTCGTCCATAATTAAGTCAACAGCACTGAATTTTCGAGAGAGAGAGAGAGAGAGGCATCATTTCTTTTAATTAATGCAGAAAAATGAAATAAAGACGTAGTTCTTACTTTACTCAGATATTGATCAGTTGATTGATCTTTTGGAAATAAATCTTCATTACTAGCATATGAAGAAATATGATCAAATAAATCAGTTGAATTATGAAGGATCTTTGTATGAAGACCACAAGCAACCAAAATATGGGCAAGACGATCATTGTTCGATATATCTTGACGAATATCAGTAACTCGACCTCAACAAAAAAAAACGAAATTTTGTTATGTATCATTAGTAGAAAAGCAAGTACTTACTAGGTGTCAACATTTCATTGTAATTTATGAATGCATGGCGTGTAACTAAAAAGTCAAGTATGGCATCACCAAGAAATTCTAATCTGTAAAAGAAAACGATAAATGACTGTAGGTTCAATTCACAATTGATTCTCTACCGTTCATAACTATCTGTTACAAGATTAGCAAAACTTGATGAATGAGTAAATGCTGCAATAAGATATGCCTTAGTTTGAAAGACGTATTGGATTTTAGTTTCAACTTCATTAAATGCTCGATCAAGAAAAAATTTATTGATTATCTCATTGTTCTGAACTTCATTATTCGCAGCTATATTTGAACGGAGAACTGATGGAAGTTCCATTAAGTTGCCTGCGAATTAAAGAAAAACTATAATCTCTGCATATGAAAAGACTCATATACCTTGTTTACTGACTGGAATAACATCAAGACCAAGCCAATACATAAATTTGATCGTCGTTGTATAATTACTTGAAATGAGAAAAGCACCAATAAATGCTTCTATCATANTGTTTCTTCGTTAGAAACAGCACAAAGATACAAATGGTTAATAGAAACTATAGAAGCATTAGAATAGAAAATATTGAAAAACAACTCGACAACTTTGTATAGATAGATGCATATTCAAATGAAGACTATGACATGGTATTAATATAATTAGTCTAACATAGAAGTGAAATGAAAAGAAAAGTGTATGATGAAAAAATAATCTATGTTGTAGATTTATGGTTTCCAATACGGTTGTAAATATTTCATTAGACACTTCAGAGAAAATATGCATCTTATTTCAAAAAAAAATATCGTGCCATAGAGAAGATTCATCAAGCGTTCATTCTCATTTGAAATATACAGTTTCTGAAAAATTTTCTTCTATGAAAGAAAATTTATTTTAGTGAGATGTGGTCGAAGATGATGAAAAGTCTAGGCATCAGACGATATCACATTATTAAAAAAAAATAAGAGGAATCTTCTAATAGTTCTTTCTATGCAAAAGTTTCGATAACTTTTATCAAGCATTTCTATATTTTTGCTCTAGATCTTCTAAGAAAAACATGATATAATCTCTACAAAAGCCGATTGCAGCACTAGATTAAAAACAAAATTAATACAAGACTTTTGTTTCATCCATTATGACATTTTTAAGAAATAAATTTAATTTAACGTAGCCAACAAATTGATCAAATAATTTATTTGATGCAAAATCCTTTTTTATCCTGTATATTTATTTTGAATGAGACCTAATTGTCTCTGTGAAATATGAATATTATCTATTGCATTTCTTCAACAGATGATCAGATGATATTAAAGAACAACATTCGATTTAGGCATAGAAAAACTTTGAAACCTTTTTATTCAAAAGAAAAAGTAATTAATCAATCTCGTATCTTTGTCAAATAATGTTTGTTGTCATAGAATCACAAAAATGTAAATGAGTAGGATTCAACTTTAATCATACTTTGAAAAGATAAGACAACAGTCAGTTCTTAATTATTAAACAAGATACTATTGTGTACTCTTCCAAAATGTTTTGATCAGCGAAATTTTTAACATGATCAGATCTATTGGAGTCTAGCGCCAGAACACTTGGCAATGATCATGATAATAGACTTCTATTATATTCCTTCTTTCTTCGTAGAGACGAAAAAGATCTTTAAATAAAAGAATCAGTAAATACTTCTCAGAATACATCATTTCACTCGAATCATTCGCTATTCATAATGGATCACACTATAACGTTAGTCGTTCAAGCATAGACACATTTTGTGTGCAATTAGGGGTGTCATTTACCGTTTACTTTATAATCAATATAAATCGACACCCATATCTACAATTGATTCTTCATCATGCTTTAGAAGATCCATACATTTCATTTTCGAATGAAAAATATTGATGTTTCTTGTGACAATGATATATCTTGCACTAAATCTCAATTGTTCTCAAATTTCTAGATTTGCAATAGATTAAATGTCGTCCACAAATTCATTATTGATTAACACATTGCTCAATATTCAACGACAAATCATTCAATATGTCTATTCGACTTACCTGCTTTTAGGTCTGACTTGTTGTTTTCTCAATATAATGTTATTTTCTCGACGAAAATTTCGTACAGTGTCCTGCTGTACATGTAAGTACTTGTTTTTCAATCGCAGAAAATTAAATCATTCAAATCTATGAAGTAAGATATTTTTTCATATCAGGACGAATATCGGAGACATTGAAGATAATAAGTCCTTAAAAAGGTTTTATGTACTACGTGTCCAAAAATGATTTGTTCACTCGTGTAACACCATGTTGTGTTCTGTTATATGTTTGGAAAAGTTTTTCAAAAGAGCTATAATATAGAGCATAATGTTGCTTCGTTGCTAGTGATTTGTATATTTTCAGAAGGACGACCATTGTAAGTATAAATATGAACTATTTAATTGCGATACTAAGGTCTAATTCTTTCTGTTGATCTATGGAGATTAGCAGAGTAATGATTGTAAACAGCGATGAACATGAGAAGACTGCTCAATGAAAAGTATTGGAGAAAACAAACAAGCGATGCAATTTTATCTTGCATACATTTTCTCCCTTCAGCGTAAGCTATTCATTAATCATAGCATCGATAATTATTGAACGAAAAACAATTTTTGAATTTCGACAAGTGTTTTTTCATGCCATTGAGTTTTTATTCATTATTAATTAAGAATTACCTATTGTATTCGATCATTTCTGAATATGAGCAGATCATTGTATTGTTGTTCAGTTTCTATCAGTCGAAATATATTCATATGACATTGGAAAAGTTATATATATATATTTATATTCAATATGACCGTTTTTTTTTCTAATCGTATTTATTTTGTTCTTACCAGAATGTCAAACATGTTCTAATCAGCATATCGTTTTGAAAACAAAATCTTTTTCAAACGTTCTTCGAAATTCACATTTCGACTCACATCTAGTTTTTTTTGGATCAAGACATGTAACCGAAAGCAAAAGATTTTATGAGTAACAATAATTAATCGGGCGAATAATTTTTTGGGTGCTAAAACATAAAATATATACACTAGTTATAAAATAAGCTAGAAAACAAAGAAAGAAAAATTCTAAAAAGATAATAATATATAAATTGGTAGCAATAGAACACATTATAATCTATACTAGAGCTCTCCTATTGACTTCGTTCAAATATATAGCAGCATATAAAGTGAAGGTACCGAGTTAAACGAATTAATTTTGATGGACTGTTTATATGATTTGTCTTTTTAAATAGATTTTTTAGTTGGCAGCCTAGCATGGATATTTATTTTGTCGTGGGCAACTTCACTCAATCTATATACACTGAATCATGCCGAGCCAATTCTATCGTCGATAGTCTTGTGCAAGTTGCGCCTCTATTTGCCTCAATGCTTCACTATGATCTTTCGTTGGTGCCTAGTTGCCGCTTGTTTTGATCGGTATGCACTCTCATCAACTAGTGCATATCTTCGAAGTTTTGCTACACTACGTATTGCACGTCGTTTTGTAGCAGGGATCGTGCCTCTATGGTTTGTAATGCCTATACACATCATTATCTTCTATGATTTGAAACCAGGTCTGTGCGGTATTTTGTTCAGTATGGTTGCAGCATTCTATCATAGCACATTTACCACCTTGTTTGGCGGCATTCTTCCACCTTTATTCATGTTTATTTTTTCCATATTAATCTATCGTAATATACGTGCGAAAACACAACGCCATCACACTATGATCAGAAATCAAAATATGGAAACAGGTGTAGTTAGACGATTGGAATGTCATAACAATCAACAATTTTTAATTATGTTATTTGGTCAAGTATTTGTCTATGTCATTGTAACAGCACCTTTGATGAGTTTTTACTTTTATAATGCAGCTACACTCAACATTTTGAATAAGTCATCTGAACGTCTGGTCATTGAAAAGCTTTCTAGTTTTTTAGCCGAAACAGTTCTTTTATCACATTCGATTTTTTCATTCTGCTTGAACACATTAACTTCGAGTACATTTCGTCGAGAACTGGTAAAAATGTTCATGGGATTGTTTAGTTTGAAAAGATGCATTAAGAATCGTCGCATCGAACCAATGATGGACGACACTCGACTTGATCCTAGTAAGATACAATCGGTCGGTATAAGATCACATATTCTTAAAACTGTTCCTATTGGAGAACTGTTAGATTATACAAGAAAATCGATCAATTCTAACAAACTTCAGACTCGAATACAATAGAAAAGAACATAATTCTACTCATTCATATTTATTCTTATTAATTCTCAATAGCAATATACTGTGTGATATGAGAAGTTTTTGATACATGTAGCTTCAAACAGACCAGATGGTTAACAATTAATTATTATCCATATGTCTCATGTCTAGAAAAAGTATTTGACATAAACGTGAAATATTTACCACTTTCATTTTTTTTTGTCTTTGTTCATCAATCTTTGTTGTGCTGTGCAATTTCACTCTTATTGTTGTTACCATATAATAATTTTATGTTTTGTTTTTTATTTCAAGTCTTATTTCAGTATTAAGTCTTATTATTAATATATTTTTCATTTCCTACAGTTACTATTTCTCTTTAAAGCTTGAATGATATACACAAGTTGAACTTAATCTATCGAGTATTCCGAATTATGCATTACGCTTTATGAATTCATTGTAGTAATATATTAAGTGAACAACAGATAATTATTACTCGAGTATCCGGACAGTATTTCTAGTGTAACGTCAAATACAGTGACACCACATGGCATCTGTATGATAAAAAGTGTCTTAATTAATATTGAGATAAAGTCAATTCACGTATGAAATCATGGTGATTTCATCAATATGCATATGATTATTAGTTATCATATACACGATTGATTTCGTATCTATTTTGAAAAGTCCTTTATCGCAAAATAATCTAAGAATTATATGAAAATATAAAGTTCACTAAAATTAATCTTGATTCTGCGTATGCATACAGATAGTAATGAATAATTGATGAAAAAACACATCTGTTAGCTCTTTTGTTATTTTCTACAGTCAGCTAAATTACGCATGACATATGTTTACTTTTTATATAAACCTTTGATGATTTCTGGAAGAGTTGTTATGAAAGATCAATACATTCTTTCCAATGATAAAAGAATTTAGAATGATATAATTTCTTACAACAAGTATCGAATGAATTCTCTACTTAAAGTTAAATTATTTCACGATTAATGGATTGAAATTGAATTAGTCATTGGAAAAAAAGCAGTATGATAAAACAGCAACGATTCTAATTTCGTCTTCGTTCTAGAATATAACATATGATAATAGTTTCTTTCTATCTTCGCAAAAGATATTAGTTTAAATTCATTAGGTTTAATTCACGTAGAAAGAAAAACGTATTTTATAAAAGTTGCCTAGTTCAAGTTCACGATATTGCAAAACGGACAAGAAAATTTTAGTTTCATGAATAGCATATGCACTTCTCTATCAAATGATGTCCAATTGATTGAAAAACTGATCAGCAGATGTTGCGTCAAAAGAATCAAAATAGGAATAGGATATCTACACCTTCTTTTTCATATTTCTTTTGTTTCTATGTTCTATGCGACTGAATTCGATTACGTACAATAAATGACCACTATACTCAACATAAAAATCACGTACTTGTATTTCTCTTGGTATAAAAAAAATCAAACAATGCCTTCGTTAATAAAAAAAGAATTCAATTGCTCTCCCCTTTCGCTTCTTTAATAGAATAATAAGAATAAAAACAACTCAAATATTTTCTTATTTGTCTAGCCGAAAATTTTGTTTCAATATTCCCAAAATTAGACAGTTCAGTATGGTAAGATGTATCGAACGATATAATTTTCTTTTCAAAAAAAGACGCTTTATCATACTGAACCGAGCATAAATTCACGTTCTTGTATCTATTCTTTCCAAACACTCGTTTTATCTGATATTCCATTTTTCGAATTTCAGACAAGAACTTTATCTAATTGATTAAGAAACATAAAGGAAAATGCATACATTTGCTGATTAAACGTACAAAAAGAATTTAATTTGAATTAGAATTTTACTACAATTGCGACGTTCACGACATAAAAAAATCAAACAACTGGATTTTTATGTAACTATCTAGTATAAAATTCATGAAATCCATCACAGCACGATAATCAACGTCCAGTGTTGAAATCTGATAGTACCTAGTGAGAGTGTGGGTTAAATCAATATCTACACTCGCACCTTCCCACACTCACTATTACACCCACATCCACACTGATAAATTTTATAGAGCCATAAACTGTTCTCGAAAGGATTGGAGTCCCATACTAAACGTTGACTATATATCAATAAATGTCCATCATTCGGAGAAATATCAGAAGTATGAAGACAACTAATGAATATAATTGCATTTTCTATGATTGATTTTATTAATCCTAAACGAAATGAAGTTCAAAACAATAACAAAATGCTATGTATAGAGTCACATCGATCGATACAAAAATGCATACAATGATAATGTATTGCGAAAAAGAAACATAAAACTTGCAGTAGATATAAGTCATAAAATATAATCTGATATTTGAGTAATGCAGAAAAAAATCAATTGCATTCAAACGAAATGATTTGTATTTTCATAGAACCAATTTCATATTCTTGCTTCGATATGATTTTGGCTACCGCAAATTTCTGCAAATGAAAGCCAACAGACGAAAAACACAGATGCGCTCATATTAAAACTTTATACCAGTTTATAAAATTAGGTGTCTTGGCTTTTATTTTCTCTTTCTTTGATATTATCCGATAGATTATTGGTTTTGTTTCCGTTATATCTAGCTTAGCCTTTGTTATGGGCAAGACAAATACTTTCTCTTTGATCTAATCTGAATTTCTATTGCTATGTCGTCTTTTCTAGGATATTCAACATTTTAAAGAAATTTCGTATCTCAAAATTAAGTGTTCAATTTTTATGTGAACAACAGCTCAATAAAATTCCGAGCAATAATAATTGACAAACGACATGAAGCAGACGCTTTACATGTGTTCCTATGCATTGACCATACGCAATAGAATAGATATAATTTTTTCGTACACATCATCACATAAAATACCAACAGACGTCAATCAATTATCCCTTATCCATTGTGTCCATTTTCCAAGATTCACATGTCGATCTTCTGTTTGAACGATTATTTCAAGTATTTAATACCGTATCTTTTTGATTTCAATATTGAACCAAAGTTGATACAAGGAAAGCTTTTAAACATAATAATTAACAATAAATTAATTTCTTAGACTTTTTCCGGAGATCATTTGCCGAAAGATTGAATGACAGTCTTGAGAATCATCTATTTTTCAATTGGACCAAGCGAAGCTTATTTTATAATTTTTTTCTACAAATAACTCTTAATCAAAACTGATTTTGTATCCTACTAATTTCAAAAGAGATGGATTTCAGTAGTTGATGAACAATCGTCTGCCTTAGGTGTAGAACATACCTTAAGAATTTTCAACTCATTGTAATGACAAAAAAAATATATATATAAGTGTATACATATATTTCTGTTATGATTAGGGTGTGGGTGTGAGCATTTTTTCTGTTGATTAACACCCACCGACACTCACACCCACACGCAAGCTTCTATACCAAAATAATGCATAAATTAAAAATTGAATATTTCTGTCCAGGCACGACAATGGCAGCTCATATTTTAAATTTATTACTGTAGGTTCTCGGTGAAAGTGATCATTTGACCCGAAGCTGGTCAATTTCTGAGCTCATCAATACAAACCCTTCTATTGTGAGTGTATTAATCTGTATCCATCACAAACAGTTTTCCTGATTTTATCGGTCTTTCCGATAGAAAAATGTTCGTAATTTAAATGATCAGATTTCCACAAGTATATCCTATTCGATTTATGAATCTTTTAGGATTTTCGATTTTGAGATTAAACTATTGAAATAATGGTACTACTGAGAGTGCGAGTGTGGGTTTAGGTGTTATCAGTAGTTCTGTCATTCACTGATGCCCGCATCCTACACACCCACAGACTCATGAAAGTAAATTTATGACTCATTATTCAAATACGAGCTTTTTCTTTTTTTTTTCTTCTTTCATCACTCTCTAATGCATATAAATGGTAAAGGAAAGATCATGGAATGAATGATTGTTTCCTATTTATAAACCAATCATTTGAATGTTTTTTTCATCTCAGTATTTTTATTCCTTTTAGATGGCAACAAGTGGTTCTAGTCAACCAAATGACGAAAATAATCAACAAACTATTCCCGGTGATGGTCCATCGAAAAATAAAAAGCAATTAGAAAAAATAAGCAGAAAAATTTTTTAAATCTGAAGAAAAACAAACAGCTAAAGCACTAGCTGAAGTAGAAGTTTCATTTATTATATTTTGTATGTCGTAGAGAAAAACTTTTTTACAATGTTTTAGAAAAAACCTACCCCTCGTGAGATCATTGGATATAAATCACCAACAAATACTGGCGAGAAAAAAGATTAATCATTATAAACAAAAAAAAGCATTCATAATTTATAAAAATGTATGTCTTTCAATATCTTAGATATTCATTGTGAATTATCTAAAGCTTATAGTCCAAAATATGTCGAAGCTGCTTGATATGCTTGGTGGAAAAAAGAAGGGTTCTTTCGTCCTGGATATTATGATCAACATCCGCCAGCGAATGGTTCAACACCACGAAAATCATTTACGATGGTTATTCCACCACCAAATGTTACTGGTTATCTTCATTTAGGTCATGCTATTATGTGTACAATTGAAGATACACTTTCACGTTGGCATCGGATGTGTGGTGATACTGTTCTTGGGGTCCCTGGATGTGATCATGCTGGTATAGCAACACAAGTTGTTGTTGAAAAGAAAATTATGCGTGAACAATAATTAACAAGATATGATTTAGGACGAGAAAAATTTTTAGAAGTTTGGAAATGGAAAGATGAAAGTTTCAAATATTTACCGGAAAACTTGTATTTGTATAGGAGTGTGTATAAAAAAAAACTAGTTATTGGAAATTTTGATAGTTTCGTCAAACCTTAATAGTTTAATTTTCTTTTATTTGAACTCTTTATAGTAACTTTAAGCAAAAAGTAATAATTGAAATCGGAAGATGACATTCGTGAAAGTATAATTTTCGATGAAAATTTGCAAAAGTTTAATATACAATGAAAACGAAAGCTTTTCAAATGTATTGATGATAATAAGTCTTTTGCTGTAAATACGTGATCATATTTATGAACAAATAAAAGCATTAGGTTCATCATGTAATTGGTCACGTAAAGTGTTTACGATGGATAAAAATATGTCATATGCTGTCGACGAGGCATTTATTCGAATGCATGAAAAAAAATAATTTATCGTTCAACACGAATAGTCAATTGGTCATGTACACTTAAATCGGCGATTTCTGATATTGAGGTGAGACAGTATTAAATATTTATCATTATTTTCTTATTAACCCTAGTACGCCCGTGCTTTTTTACGCACTACAGTAGCAATATACGCTTCTATAAAATTATTTTCTCTATTCTAAGGCCACTATCCTGACAAAAGGATGCTAGTGTTATATCCAATCTGATAGAAAAAAATACTGAGAGTATATTAGTCCTTTATTTCGAACAATTAATACAAAAAATCTGCTTTATACAATGTTCGTTACAAACAAATGCAGAACAATTATAACATTTAGTTGAAGTTTTTCTGTCTTTAGATGTTTCACACATTGAACACCGTTTTCGTTTTCCTTGCGCAGAATCTTCATTTGATTCTTGTGAATTTCTTCTCGTTATAGGATGACCAACAATAGCTAAAGCATTTTGAATATCTTTATGTAGAAATGTTGCGGTTTTTGAACGAAAATCCAACAGAGGTGTTACTAGACTAAGTCCGAGTTCTTCTAAAAATAATCGCCGTTGATATCTCTTGTTTCGATTCCATTCTGGATTTTTCGCCTTCCATAAGATAAAAGCATTTAGAGCCGCCATATCTATCATACCGTAGAAAATACAAAGCGGCCACCGCTTTGTACCTCTTTTTACCTACAAATGACAAAATGAAAAGATAAAAAATAAAAATATTTTTTACTGTATATTTGTGGCACATTTGATCAACAGTGTCAACAGCTCCCTTGGCTTTATTATAATCCAAAACAATAATTGGTTTTCCAGTCTTATTGTCCACCTGATTATCATGATGTTTCGAAGAAAGTAATAAGACAGCTTTATTATTTTTTGGTACAAAGGAAACTAAAGTTAAATTATCTTCAAAACCAAAAAGCGAAGAACCAACTTCACGAGTTTTATTTGATAGAAATTCCATAGGTATTTCTGATTTATTTTTTCGTAATGTTCCTATAAGAGTAAGATTCTTCGTTTGAAGATTTTTCGCCAATGGAACACTTGTAAAGAAATTATCCATTGTAACGTTTCTGTTTGAACCATAAAATGGCTTGAGCAATTCTAAAACTACACTTTCACCTATGTGTTTTGTTTTTCTTGGCCTGGTTGTCGTCCAATGTAAGGAAATGCATTCAATACATAATACGACTCTGCATCAACACATAGCCAGAACTTTAATCCGTATTTGTCAGGCTTCTTAGGAATAAATTGACGAAATGGACATTTTCCCCTAAATCCTAATAATTGTTCGTCGATGGTGAGATCAAGTCCTGGTGTATAACATGTTTTTAATTTATCTTGAAAATCTGACCAAATTTCACGAATTGCTGCAAATTTATCTGCTTGTTTTCTCTCTTCTCTTGTTCTTTTATCATCAAATCTTAGACAAGAAATAATTCTGTTAAAACGGTTTTTTGAAATAGTAGCTTTGAATATTGGAGATTCCAAAGGACTTGATCTCCATAAGGATCGTAAATTTCCCTTTGATCTTCCTAATAAACCAGCAAGCAATAATAGTCCAATGGAAGCTTTCAATTCCATCATTGTTATTTCTTCTTTTTCATCTAATCCGGTGTTTCGATCATATTCCATATTTGAATAAATCAAAATTTTCTGCATGATTTTTTCCGACATAAGACAAATGAATGCGTCTTCAATAGATGCAACATTTTTAGTAAGCTTGGTTGGTCCAGATTTCTCGATATTATCACTGAAAGATTTTATTTTTGTTGAAGTAGACGGAATTGAAGACCAGATCATCCCGGACTTGGAAGTATATGAGCTTTTTCGTGTAGAATCTTCGGTTAATTTAAGATCTTCTAAATCAATTTCATCATCAGCGTCTGATGTTTGACTTTCATCATTTTCTGTTTCTGAACCACTTTGTTCGTCGTTAAAATCGTCAGATTCGCTATCCTCTTCAATCCAATTGTTCATGATCGTTTTTTATAATATAAAAAGAAATCTTAATCTAGAAAATAAAAAAAAATGAAGAGGTACTGGATGATAGATGAATATCTTCGATCCAAAATTTAATCGAATGAATCATATATCATTCTAACTGGATAATCCAAAACCCAATCAATAAGTACTTCTAAGTAGATTGGAGATAAATATACAGTTAAAATGGTGCATGAGTCTTGAATTTTAATTGAAAATTTAACTTGTTCGCTTGTCTAGTTTTATGTTAAATACTGATGAAATTGTATTTTATTGTATTGAAGGCTTGTAATGAGATGGAATAGGAGAAATGAGTTTCATTTTAGACTACGCAACAGCTATCTATTCATAATAGATGACAAATGATTCCTTAAACCCGAAATTACCAAAATATTATAGTGTATTTCCAAATTTTTATCTCTGGGTCAGAAATGACCCATGTTGGGCGTACTAGGGTTAAGAAAAAAAAAGCATTTTTTGTAAGTATTTGTTTTTTTTTTCTTTCAAGTTAAAAAAAGTTGAATTAAAAGGTTGAACATTGATAGATGTTCCTGGTTATAGTGAACAAGTTGAATTTTGTGTTTTAATCTATTTTGCTTATCCAGTTGAAAATTCAAGTATTATTTTTCATACAAAAACTATTAAAAAATACTTATTCGGTTTTTTTTGTAGATGAAGAAATCGTTGTTGCAACAATTCGTCTTGAAACTATGCTAGGTGATACCGCTGTTGTTGTTCATCCTGATGATGCACATTATAAACATTTACATGGTAAATATGTTCAACATCGATTTCTTTCACGTCATTTACCAATTTTAACTGATACAATGGTTGATCCGACATTTGGTTCTGGTGCTGTTAAAGTAACATCCGCACATGATCCAAATGATTTTGAATGTGGATGTCGTCTTTCATTAGACTTTATAACATGTATTACTGATGATGGTTTAATGACATCTGAATGTGGTCCATATGGTGGTAAACCACGTTTTCTTGTTCGACGACAACTTTTAGAAGATTTAAAAGAACGTAGTCTTTATCGTGATAAAAAAGAAAATGAAATGATTTTATCAATATGTAGTCGAGGTGAGGGTGTGGGTGTGAGGGTGTGGGTGTGGGTGGATGTGGGGGTGTGGGTAAAGAGTAATAGCAAACACCGACAGCCATACCCACACCCACCCACACCACACGCTACACAAAGTATCCAGAAAATTTTCTTTTTCGCTAGACTTTGTAGAGCTTTTTTCGCTGATCATTTTGGTATAATGAAGTTGTGAACTTCATTAAGAAATGACAAGGCTTCATTAAGAAATGACAATGCTATAGCCAAAATAAAATTACACAGTAAAGTAGTTTAAAATGCCATTTTTCCTGATAAAATATCAGAAAGAGTTGAGTCTCTGATCTCCAAGTGATCATATACTCGTGAAATATGATAAAGCAGGTTTTGTAGAGAAGATTTTGCTAGATAAAACCCTATAGTTGGTTTCTCAAAGANTGTTCCTCCAACACCAGCTACTGCTGTTTGACCTTGATATACATTTTCACCATTACAAATAATTTGTCCTTGTTTGGATAAATTAGTTCCTCCTTTTCTGGGAGGCATAATTAACGACGAACCACTCGTAAAATCGACTGGAACTAATTAACTTAATTAATAATTTCAAAAATAATTTCAAAATAATGTAATATAGTTAATTAATCAAATAAATAAATTCGACGAGTTGAACAAAGAAATGTATGTAACCGACGAAGATAAGATGCGACCTATCTCGACCGTGAAAAATAACGAATGTCACTTTTCTTTGAATACAGAATAGTGGCTGAGTGTCTGATAAGTATCTAATTGAATATGATGGAAACAACATTTTCAGTACGTTTTTCGTTATTAAGATCTCGCTGATCGTTTCAGGTATCGTTATCACTAGTTGATAATTGATAAAAATTTAGATTAAACAGAATCTAGTGAGAGCTGTATTACAGCATATGTGATGAAATCTATAAGAAAAGATCAGCGTAGAAGATTTTGAACGTGATAGTAGGCCATCAATTTTATTAAAAGTTTCTATAAGCAGCAAACTCTAATTTCCCTGTTGGATTCTAGCTTTGTTGGCATCACTTGAAAGTTAGGCGTGAAGACACAAATCTTTGCTCGAAAACTACAACCAAGCGGCTGATAGTTAAAGTCAAATGTTAAATAATGGAGTTTTATCAAAATAATAATAGGGTTGTATGACGAACGGAACTTGACTATGATAACTCGGAAGTCGATTTTCATTGTTGAAAACGAAATATTCATTTAAAGCTCAACTAATCTTATGTGAATGCTAGTTAAGTTTCATTCAAAAAGCTATATTATTGAGCACTTTTATACATTGAACATGTTAAGCGTAACAAAATAAAGCTGTCGTAATACATAATGGGCAACACCACTATCGCCAAGGGGGAAACAACTGATTTAAATCACCTGAAAATCAAGATTAAATCATTTGTAAATCATGTTAAATCACTTGAAAAATTGATTTTAGATGATCTTAAATCATCTTTAAATCATTTTAAATCACCTTAAATCAACTTAACTCATCTTAAATCACAAAATCATAAATCAGTTGTTTCCCCCTTGACTATCGCTATGAATGAACTTTGAGCAGAGAGCTCCAAACTTGAAATCTCACTCTTCATCGTAAAGTTTTACTACAAAAATTAAAAGGAGCGCAGATGTCAATTTCGCACCGTATGTAGAGAAGAATCTGATTTTATCTTAGCAAAAAGCAAGTATTTGCCTTTCTTAACTCACAAGTTATTAGCAATGCATTGTATCGGCGAAAAAAGCTTCTCATCTTCGGAAACACTCAGGAAAAGAGACCAATATTTATTGGACAATCCGTATTCACTGTTAATGATGATGATACGAATTTAGAAGTTCCTAGTTATCATGGTCGAGTAATGGTGTTCAAAGAGTTATGATGCAACGAATATAGGGTTGTCGCATTAGAATTAACATTATCATTGCATAATGTTAATACTAATTCTAATGCGTTTTTATCAGCATTACTCAGTAAGATTAATGTGTCATGCTTGCTGGCATCAGAACTAATTAACATCGACGTGATAGAATTGATGTAACGTTCTTTTTAATTTTAATATGCGATGGTCATGCAAGTTTTGGAAGAATACCGATAGATACTAGCTACAATTTTCCAGAGGTTACTTGAAATTCTATCTATTTCATTTCAAGTGATGCCTGGGTATGGTACCTGCAACATTCTATATGTTACCTTTAGAGGGTATACAAAAATTTGTTGAACGAAAAATTGACGAGAAATGTAAAAAAACCAAGGTATTTTTAACGAAAACTTTTGCCCATGTAGCCGATGCCCAAAAATAATGTACATTGCGGTGGATCCATTACAACTCATTGAAAACTACATGCATTAAGATGCGTGAAAATATTAATTTAATTTAATGAGAATCCAATGCATTAAGTTTATCCTCATTAAAACCAATCACTATGTCTTTTGCTTTCAGCGATTTTACTTACATAAGTCTATTTTTGTTAGACATTTTTACATCCGTTTACTGCAGTATTATCATGCAGAATTCGTAAACTTTTGCTTTAGTGTGCGTTTGTTGTTGTCCTCTCAAACAAACAAACTATTTCCAGTATCCTTTCCATGGAATCTTTTGTATTGGTTATCAAGAAGATTGACGATGTTCGAGTCAAACTATCATTCTTACGGCCAAACTAACAAATTTTAAATATTACATGCCCAAAATGAGCCTGGATCGAGATATTTTATTTTTAAGATATTCATAGTTTTGGTATGTGGACATAGTAATATGGAAAGTATTCACATCCAATGTTTTACATAATCATAAGGTTTTTCGGGTAGTATGTTTCTTAGAATCTTATTGAAAGTTATCGATCACACTACACTCAGCTTCATTGATGAATTTACTAGTACTAATGTGAGACAAAAGTTGGCAATTCTCTATAATAATTCATAGATTATCAGTGATTTTGATTTTATTTCATATGAAGACCATTGAATACTACAATTTGAGATGAAAATCTTCAATTAAATGATAATATGAAAAGTTTTTTTTTTGCACCAAGCATAAAATAACAGCGTTCACTCTTCACAGTCAATGATCGAACAATAAAGATCATAATATTTAAAACAAACATCGTTAGGTTTCTCAATATTTGCTAATTGTTTCGTTGATTATTTTAGCTTGTACACATCCGGACTTAATAAGATTTTGAAATTGAGGCGCAAAGAGTTGGTTATGAATAACAGAATGCATGTTTATAACATATTGACGATCAGTCATTGTCATTTCTGTTCAATTAATAGGAGTATAATGCTCTATTTTCTTATGAAAGAATCTTCATGAACGAAATAAAGATAGTTCTTGTGGTTGAATATAAACATTTGATCGTTGAGGAAAAATTAATAGTTGATTGTTTATTTTGTTTGAGAAACACTGCTCTAAATTTTGTTAGATTAGCTTGAGTTTTCCACCAATCCAGAAAAAGAAAGAATTTTCTATCAATCAAAGAACGTAGAACTGCATTTAAGAAGATGCAATGTTTATCATCACTACTTTCTCCAGATTTTGAAGCCTGTGCTACGACATTTGGTGGCACAATTAAATCTTTTTGCACTCTCTTACCAAATTTATATTCTTTTTCGTGTGGAATCAGTAAGAATTTGTTGAATAATTGATCAGCAGCTGCTATTATAGGCTGTACTGCATAAGAATGCGTTTCACTGTTTTTCTTCTTAACAGTCACTTCTGTTTTTCTTTCACCCATGAAGGACAGACTTCTTGGAGACACATATTTTTGTTGAAATGAACAATGATCACTGTTCAATATTTGATCAGAAGGGTGTGGGTGTGGGTGTGGGTTTCGGATGTACAGAGAAGATCCACACCCACAACCACAACCACAATCACACCCACACCCACACCCACTCACACCACACCCACATCCACAGCCACATCCATCCACACCCTATTATCCGAATTCATATGGAGTCAGTTTACATAGTATTGAGGCTGAAATACCTCTATATCTCTCCACTGATAAGTTATTTGCTTCGATTCTTTGAATAATGAATTGATGAAACATGTAGATGAAAATCCAAATGATTTATTACGAATAGATGCTTTATCCAATTTGAATTACATCGTTATAGAAGAGTGCGGGCGTGGATATGCAGAAGAAGAGAACTTTCACACCCACCCATCTACATTCACATCCGAACAACAAGTTAAATATGGTAAATTAGTATTACTAGAGTAAGTCAAAAACTTCACCATGTTTAACTACAATAAATGATGATGAATTGAGTAGCTTGCTTTGAACTGCATGAGCAAGTTTTTTAGGTGGTTCCATAAAATATTCATTTGCTAATGCCCATGTACTCCAATGAATACCGATCGATTTTTTTTGATTGAACATCAATATGTATTTGAACAGCTTCATCTGGTGACACATGTTGAGCTTCCATCATCCATCGTGGTTCGTAAGCACCGATCGGTATAGCACTTAAATCGAATGGACCATATTTTTTACCAATGTGTCGAAAAATTGAAATGTTATGAGTATAACTTGTATCTCCAGCGAAATAAAATTTGTGTGTAGCATCCCAAACAGCAAAACTACCCCACAAAGAGTTGTTCAAATCGAATGCACTACGACGACTCCTAGAGTAGAAAATATTTTATTACTATAAAAAATAACAATGAACATTATCAGTGTTGAGCTAGACAAAAAGCAATGTTCACTTCTTTCTTCTAAAACAAAAATCAAAGATAAATATTGCAAAAAGTTTCCAGCATGAATCTTCTTTTACCAAAAGATGATACTCTTCCCTCCAATTGAGTTCGACAACATTGTGTACATGCCTATTGAGAAACCATTGTCGAGTACCTCGGCCACAGAACCACGTTAGTCGTTTACTATAGCGTTTGTTTAAACTTTTTACACTAAAATAATCGAGATGATCAAACTGATTATGAGAAACAAGTATAGCATAGATATCATCGGGTAGATGTTTTATTGTTAATACCGATGGACCGAAACGTTTCGGTCCGATAGACGGTGTAATCCCCGCATTGTTTACTATAATCATTTAATTGCTTTAATAGGAAACAAGAAAGAAAGAGAGAAAATATCTACCTGAAAACTAGATCGACAAGAAATCGAAAATTATTCATTTGAACAAAACATGAAGCATGTCCAATCCAAATAAGTCGTAGACCTGGTGTTGATCGATATAGTTCTTCAGGTTTTTCATGTCGAGTAACAGATAAAATTTTTATCAAGCACTGGACTGGGGAATTTAAATTCAGGATTAAATGAATTAATGTAACGACCATTTTCTATGCGAGACCTGACTAATTCATTGAAAGCCTTACCCGTTCTTGTTGTTACTATAACGATAATCACTGCTTGTAAAAATCTCGCTTGCCCTTGGTGGTAGACTGGTAGTGATACGAACACATATAACAGAATTCTTAAATTCTGCTGTCCCTCATGTTTAGGAGAAGGAACAAAAACGATGAAAAAACCAAACAGAATACAAGATAGACTGTATATGTGACCAAGCTCACAAATTCCATTTTTTAATCAATTCTTTCCAACTTCTTTACGACTCTTGTGAAGCAGAGCTTAAGAGCGTTCAGAGATGTACATTGAGTGTAATATTTCTTCTTTGAATAATATAGAGTATGACGCAGTCTTCCATATCCTATCCGAATATGAGATTGAAATTTCGATACGAGTAGCTTGTAATCGAGAAATGGTTAAAATACGACATGAAAAATTTCGACAAAAGTTTTTTAGCAAAAAACTCACAATAAGTGTCTCTTGACTCCTGCCGATCTGTTTTTCAAAACTCACATATGAAATATGAGATTGAGTTTTAGAGAGACAAAGTTTGTTCCCCTCACAGACATCTATTGTTTCAACATCGTCCCTTTTTCATACATACCTATGCAAGTGTGGATGTGAGAGTTCGATTTCTCTTCGTCCACATCACAGTCATCCAAATGAGTGAAAAACAAAGACTAAAGAAAACTCATTTTACAACGTAACATGTAGAGTTGCCGGCGAGAAAAGAATCGCTAATTTTTACCTGTTTATCATCAAATAGAACGTTGGACAAAATTTTCTCATGGAGTACTTACCGTTCTTTGGTGTTTTGATTGAATTCTTGTGCTTAGTTTTTTGCTCATGCGAGAAGCCATCGATCACTATCGCTACAATAAAGAGAAGAATAAATATAATCGAAAATAAGTAGTTCGCTACGACTAGACAACTTGTTGTCGACATCTTTGTTTTGCCAAATCAAAGAGAATTTCCTTGCTCAAGTCTTACTCAGTTTCGTAGCCAAGAGTTTCCTAATGGGGAGGCGGGTGTCCTGACTCTTTTTGAACCCAAGAAAGTGTGAAGCTTTGCCAGTCTAATAAATTTCACAATTGAATATTATCGATCTGCTTTTTTTCTCCAGTACATTTTAGTTCCTTTGAAAAAAACTAATGTGTGTGTTGAAATTTTGCAGCAAAATTATCATGAAACCAAAAAATATTTCTCACTTCAATAATATTTGTGCTTTTAGAGAAATCTATATATATTGAGATTAAATCAAATAACAATTGATAATGGAAAATTTTTGGTCTTTCACAACGACCATTTTCAACCTAAAACAGAACGAAATAAAGTGTGTTGAATAGGTGTTGAAACGAACAGTTTTTTTTTTCACATCATAAATGATGCAACATGATCTACATATAATATAATAACCTATATTATTCATTTAAATCCTGAATCATTATAGCATAGTCATAAATCATACAAAAATAAACCGAAAATTTATTTCGATTTCATTTTTGACCAAAATGTAATATACTCAAGTATTATATTCTACTTTATATAAGAAAAGAAAGGCTCAGCTACAAATATTCACTGATAAATTCCCTCTTGATCTTTTTATTTATATTATCGGTCGAAATGAAAAAATATTTCACCATTTAAACAACTCAACTATACAAAAAATTCAGCATCGATATTGTGCTTATGTCGTATTCGAAAAAAATAATCAGAACCTCTATCCGTTCTCGCAAACTTTAATATTATTCAAAGATTTAAGGGAAGTTCATAAGTGGTCGGGTGACTTTTGACACAAGAAAACCAATGTCTAATCGACATATATCAATAGTCAATCAACAAAAAATACCAACGTCTCTAATTGACTATAATATGAGTCAGTGTAACAATTCAAGATCATTTGTGTTATTATAATAATCATTTAATGCCTATTTATTTTCAGTAAATCTCGAAAACCAATCGAAAACGACACTAAATGTTGCAGGTGTATGCAATTGACTTGCTCAAAACACACAACATTTAATGATTTGGACTGAGCCTCACGTTGATAATTTAAATTCTTCCCTAAAATGTTCAGGTGAGAAGTACAGTGACTAATTTTAAATAGCTATTCTCTTTTTGTTAGAATATCAATTTCGAAGTAGTAGTCTGATGTCTCTAGAAACTGCTCCTAAATCTCATCAAGTTCAAGTTATACGGCTGTCGAAACCTGCAGATTTGACAACTGAAAGTTTAAACAAAAACAAAAAACATAGAGAGCAGTTGAAATTATTGAAACTACTCCTAGTCAAGATACATGTAAATATATGAAAAATTATTGACATTCATTGCTAAGATCTATTTATTTAAATAGCATCGAATAGTCATGAACCGGGTACTTTTCCCACTGATATAATCCCTATTCAACCATCATTACTCTTGAGTTCTCCATCAACTATCTCTGTAGCTACTGATCTTCCAGCCAAATATAACACATAATGTTCAACGAACAATCAAATTACCAAAATTCGATTTTACTTAATCAACTAAACAGATTTTGGTATAATCGCGAAATTCAAAGTTTGGGCAAAGAATGCTCTGCACTTCAAGTTTATGGAGCTTATCAACGTACACCGCTTCTGTTGGAGGTATATTTATGACCTTTTTTTTTTAAAGTATCTTTCTTATCCGATCGCTGCTGCGTCCTCAAGAGATTAAAACTTATCAAAAAGAATTTTATATTGACATTCAAGTGACAACATATAGTGGAAATAATCATACAAAAAAGTATAGTGGTACGTAAAAATAAAAAGATTAAGAAGGGTGTAGGTAGAGAAAAAGAGATACTGGCACAGACGCCCTCGAAATTCTTCTTCTCAAGATTCTATATTCGACAATTCATTGATCTTCGCTCATTTGCTGTTATCTCATCGGATCAAAGTATTTTCCTACAATTGGATCTATTGTGTCAATTTAACAATTTTCAATTGTTGACTTTACCAAACCTCAATGGATGTTGCTCATGGTCTCAACATTCAAACGCTGATATCGAAGAGGCGAACGACATGATCAACAGTCATCAATGGGACTATTTAGTATCACATCTTCAAACATTCGATTTTCGTTTTTGTCTCTCACGAAGATCCGACGAGAAGATTCTTAATTCATTTCGATCATCATTTTGACTAGAACATAAACAATGGTTTGTTACCTATGATGATCGTCAATCATCACTGTGTCTTTTCGTCATACCGGGTTTTGCATCGAATAACATAATTTATTCGTTAGACTATCGTACACCATCGCGTATATCATCCAATTTATGTTTTAATCAATTTGTTGATATTCTCACGTTGCCCATGCTCTATCCATTGACGCATCATTTCATCAATGTGACATCGCTGATACTTCAAACAGACAAAAATCTTAGTTTGAATACAATTTTACCATTTTTGAGATTGCCTTACTGACAGTCACTTGCAGTAGCCAATTCAACATTAATGACTCTACTGTTAATAGAAACAATGTTTGTATCGATTCGTTCATTGACGATAGATACAATAGTGATGAAATCGTATGCTGAACAAATATGCATCTTGTTTCCACGATTAGAACGTTTATAAATCGGAATCAATGATCCAGACACAATGATATTGTTAATTGATCTATTGAAACATTTGTCAGTTGCCAGTCATTGTGGCACAAATCTTTGACACATGAGCGATTTGTTCAAAACTCTTCACAATTAATAACAAACAATAATTTTACATATATGATATCAACAATAATAAAATAAATTGGTGGATAAGCGTTGAATAATTGTGTGCTGTTCTCGTTTTAAATCGAACAAATGATCTTGAATATGGTATTTTTTTTGTTTAGTCAAGATTTAACCTCGAGCACAATCACAATCTAGTTTGCCTCTTTTGAATATTTGTTATGGTCCTAGTGAAAATTGCAAGTTCTGTATTGGATGGCAGTTATGTATTAGTATTAAATCAGAAAGTCTTCTAATTGAAAGTGAACCATGCATCTTTCCATTTAAAAGGATGAATACGACGTAGTAATTACTTGTTATACTGTTCAAATTTGATTCAAGAACAATGGAAAAGAATCTAATTTCGTGACTATGAAAATTGAAACAATTGTAACTTCTTTGATCAGAATTTCACACACAAAAAAAATTACAACATCGTTCCAAAGATCAGTGTGTGTTCTTTCACAGTTTTATAACAATCTCTAAAGCATTGTAGATATAACTTTTTTTGGTCAAGACTTTACTACTTCGATAAAAATAAAAATTTACTAGGATTAAAATAATATTGATGAATAAAAGCATGATGGAATTTAGTTTTTCAACGGTAAAAGATTCGATTTTTGAATTATTGAAAAAGTTCTTGAAAACAATTTGTTGCAATTTGGTATTGAAAAGTCCAAGGGGTAAATAACCAGTCAGACAAATAACAAAAAAACGCGAAAAGCGCACATTTTTACGCGTTCAAGAGGCTTAATGCGTTTTATTTTTGAACTAAGTAAATTGTTACAGAAAATAGTCCTATCCATAGAGTTAGTTTGCTGGAGAAATAGTTCAGATGAGTTGTAAGTTATTATAATCCTGCTATCATTTTGTAATAATGACAAAACTGTAATGACTAAGAATTCATCTAAATTAGTTTTAAAGCTAATTAAGTTTATGAATGGAGCTATCTTCTATAACAATTTACTCAGTTCAAAAATCAAATATTTAGTAACAAGTGAAATTGT